TGCTTATCAAGTTTTTCTGGCATTATACCTAGTAAAAAAAAAAGTCAGCTTTATAGTCTATGTGTTTCTCTAACATTTTTTTCTAACCAAGTGTGTATTATTGTCCAATATCTCCTTGCTTTAACATATGTCCACCACATATGATACCTGATTTGTGTTTACATTTCCAACATTTCTCTGACATGTTTTTAAACATTTTTGCTAATCTTGTTGGTGACAAATGCCATCTATAAAACATTTTATATAAGTTTTCTTTGTATGAAGCTAACATTGTCAATGTAGAGTTTCTTTCCCACAAACTTTGCCACTTTTCTAAGTCTATATTATATCCAAAATTCTTTGCCCATACTATCATTGTCTCTTTTACTTGTTCATCTTCCATTTTGAAATGTAATAAGAAATTGAACTTTTTTAAATTAACTTTTCATCAGAAGTTAATAATGTCTGATCAAACATAGTCTGTTCTTTGTAAAATCCATACTGTTTAATATCTTTATCATATCTGACTTGCATTTCTAAATGTGACCACCATGTTAAATCAGTGCCCTGATTTTCCATCTCTTGCCTGGATTTTAAGTTCCCTTCAGAATTTAGAATATCTTTGTATGTCCATAATTTATCGAGACTGACTAGATTTGGATGTACAAATGCTTTCATTGTTGAAAGTCATCCTGGAATTTTCAAATAAATTTTACATTTTATTTTTTCCCAAGTTAATAATAATGCGTTTCTAATGTAGTGGTTTTGGAAGTATTTATGTATTTTATTTTTTCCATACCATAGAAAAGCATGCCAACCAAGTTGCAGGTCATGTCCCTCCAGATATAGCAATCTTTTATTTCTAAGAGTAATCTATTCTTTTATCCATGTTAACACTGATGCTTGATAATATAAAATCCAATCTGGCAAGCCAAAGCCTCCATTTCTTGTAACATTTTCCATTTAATTCTAGCTTTCTTTCCTTGCCAGATACATTTTTGAATTAGAGAGTTTAAATCTTCAAAGAATTTTTTCCTACAGTTTTATAGGTATCGTTTGAAATAAAAATAATATTTTTGGTAAAATATTCATTTTTACTGTAGCAATTCTTTGTAACGTTGACAGTTGAGGATTCTTCCATTTTTCCAAATCAAGCTTTATTTGGTTTAACAATTTAATGTAATTATCTTCTTTTATTGTTTGAACATCTTGCTGTCAAATATATTCCCAAATATTTGACTTTTTTGACTATTTGCAATTCTATTTTTTCTGATAGTTACTTTTTTTGTTTATCTGTAAAAATTTTAACTATCACTTTAGTTTTTTCTCTGTTTATCTTTAATCCTGCTATCTCTCCAAATTGTTCTATCTTTTCCAACAATTTAGGAATCGTCTCTAAAGGTTCCTCTAGAATGAATACCAAATCATATGCAAATGCTTGCAGTTTGTAGGTTTCGCCTTTTATTTTCAATCCTTTAATTTCTGGATCTTGCCTAATGTTTCTATTTAAAACTTCCAAGGTTAAGATAAATAGCAATGGGGATAATGGACATCCTTGTCCTGTGCCTTTGCATATATCAAAATTCTCTGTGTAATCCCCATTTACAATTACTTTTGCTGTTTGTTTCTGATATATTGTCTGAATTGTATTTATAAAGTTTTGACCATTATTTTTAGTTATTGAATCATAAATTGCCAAGAAATATTATCGAATGCCTTTTGGGCATCTAAAAATACTAGTGCCAGTTGTTTCCTTGGATGAAGTTCATAATATTCCAATATATTTAGTATTACCCTCAAATTATTTTTTATTTGTCTCTTTGGCAAAAATCCGTTTTGATCTGGGTGTATAAATTCAGTCAAAAATCTTTTCAACCTCTCAGCTATTATTGAAGTGAAGATTTTATAGTCCACATTCAGTAGTGATATCTTTTGGTATCAAAATAACATTTGCTTCTGTCCATGTATTTGGGAGTTTTGCCTCCAATAAAAGTTTGTTACATACATTTTTCAATGGTGAACTTAATATATCTTGTAAACATTTATAAAACTCTGCTGGGAGTCTATCTTGTCCCAGTGTTTTTTCATTGTTTTATCTTTTTATTGCCTCTGTCAATTCCATCATTGTTATTTTTTCATTTAACATAGTCTTAAAGTTTTCTGGAATTTGGGGTAAATTTCCCCCCCCATATATTGAGTCATTTTCTCCCATGGAGTTTCTTCCTTGTTGTACAATTTCTCATCTCAGTTCTTGATAAACACGTTAGTGGTTTTAGGCAACCCACTATTTCTCAACTATCCTTTACTTATCTTGTCTGCAGTATGGGAATAACAATTCTGGCCTATCATACAAAATTATATTCATTATCTAGGGGATCTGGAAGCAGCCACAAAAGCTAGCAGCAAAAATGGTGCAATTCTCTGAATCACCAGGGGTGCATAGTGGTAATTGGGGTGTGAATATCTTTAAATAAATGGGAAAATTCTTCAGGATTTGCCTCATAATTCTTTATCTGAGGGAAGGCACCTTTGCAGATGAAATCCCTCCAGCACATCCCAGTAGCTTTCACTCAGAATCCAAGGATCTTTAAGGTTTCTTTTTATGCCATCTCAAGAATGTCACCAAGCAAAATGGTGGAAAACAATGGAGAAAGGGGGTGGAAAATTGGGAAATGTTTTGTCCATTTCACTTAACTTTAAATTGAAAGCAAAAATTAAATCTAAATTAATATTTTGCCTATTATAATAGAAAAAATATCTAATAAACAACAGAGCATTAAGCTTCTGTGATGGATGTCATAACCTTTCCCTTGAACTACGGTCCCTTAACAATACTGTTCAGTTAACAACGCTATAATCAGTTCTCATACTAGTCTATATCCAGAGCTACAGTATGTGGCAACTGTGTGATTTGAATGATGGCTGAATGGGGCTCCAAGATGCTGACAGCATTCCAGAGTATTTGCTTGATACACTGAATGAAATCTCCTGTCATTTTTAATCTGCAGCTTATTGAAAGAGTGGGCTGGCTAGGGAGGATGGCAGTTGTAGTCCAAGTTATACTATGGACATGAGATTGATATTGGTTGGGAGTTTCTCCTAAATTTTCACTTGTCATGAATTGTGTCAAATAAGTAACCTATTTGAACCTTTCCATCCCTTCATTCAAACTTTTCAGGCATTATATTGTGACCTCATATTGGCATAGTGCTGACATCATGGGCACTCTCAGCTGTATTAGGTAAACAAAATGACACTCCTTTCAGGGGGTAGGGAAACAGACTACATACAGCTGGTGAAGTAAGCTGGGTGGCACCTATCTTATGACTTCAATTTATCTCCAGAGAATTTCTGACAATAGTACCAATAGTAGCTTTGAGAACTGACGTTCCTAGATTTACTTTGTAGAAGATAATGAGGTTGAATGGCAGGTGGTCACCAAGATTTTATATTTTATTTATTGACTCCATTTCTGTACTGTCTAGTTGTAGAACTGGGCTTAGTTAGAACTGAATGGTGTCTTTTCATTAACAGAATTACTGAAGCTGCAGGCAAGGAGCAAATTAAAACTATTCAAAGTAATTGTATCTTTGAATTATTATACCAAGTGTTTTTACCCCTCTTTTTTCTTGCTGTTCCCTTTTAATTGGTTGGCACAGAAAAATGTTGCCATAGCAGCCAAACTTGCATCTGGCAGGATGTAAGTGAGAAATACTATGCAGAAGACGCGGGGTCCTCTTTGGAATTTTTACTCTTTCAATGAAAACTAGCATCTGTTGGGAAAATCCAGATATTTAGGGATTACTTCTTATGCTATACATAGTAGATCCATTTTGTAGGTATGGATCTTTTTCCTGACAGTTTTTGAGATAGCGAAGATTAATATTATTTTATTTTTCATATTTAAATACTTCCATAAACAGTTTATTTAAGGGGGTGCTGAGAGTATCATGGGTACAGACCCGCTCCAAAGGTCCTCTGAATTATACACCTACTATAATGGCTGAGGTGTCTTATTATGTCATTGCTTGCAAACTCACGGCATCTTCTATTCAGTCTGGACACTATCTATTTTCTATTGATTACCCATGGGGAGAGGGGTGTCCAGTCCTTAAAGTGCTATGAATAAGCAAATAAGATACCCATAGGGTTTGATTAGTTAATGCCTGGGGAAAAAGTAGGAAGGAGATTAGGAGACAAAAATTTTGGGAACCGAGTAAGCAGAACTATTGTTCTTGTTTATTAGTGAATTCATTTTGGTGGAAAGAGGGTCTTTGTGTGTGCATGAGCTTTTTCCTTGCATATTGTTTAACTGAAGGTCTAGCGGCTGTTTTATCGGATAAAATGGAAACAACCCTCTGTTTTTATTTATCTCCTTTCTTTCCCAGCTTTTAAATGTTCTTTTTCAGTGGTTTTTCTTTTCTTCTCATTCATCCATTGTAATTTATAATCTGTTGAAAATCAGTTTTAACTGCTAGTTTCATTTTTGTTGGAAGGTACTGCTTGCCTTCCTTGTATTGCATTATTCTTATTGTTATAGGGCAGGCATGTCAAACTCGCGACGTCACGTGACATCGTGCAACATATCGGGCCGGTTTTGCCATTGCCGGCAATGGGGTGGGCACAGCTTCCACGTGATGCATCCGGCCTATACACCCTTGTATAGGCTAATGGTGAAAGCTGAGTTATAAATTGTGCAAAATAATATACCTTTGGAAACAAATTTGGGGGAATGTTAGGTGTGGGTTTATATCAGCCTTGTTCAGAGTTGCTTGATTTGATCTGAAAAAAATCTTGTTGACCACTAGATGTCAATGAAGAGATACAGAAAATAATCTTTGCCACCATCCAATGGTTCCCTAAAATTTTTGTAGATCTGATAACCTATCAGTGACTGAGCAATGGCTGATGTTGCATTTTAATCACACTTGGAAGGTATCAGATAGTGAGGGCTAATTATGTCATCTGTTTTCTCTCTGTTTCTTTTATCTGCTTAGACAACAAATTAGTATCCTCCCACAATGGCAGAAGCTCACCAGGCTGTGGCATTTCAATTCACTGTCTCTCCAGAGGGTATCGACCTTCAGCTGAGCCATGCAGCTATCAAGGAGATTTACCTTTCAGGCCTGCGTTCCTGGAAGAAGAAATTCAACCAAATACGGGTAATGCAGGGGCAGTCGTAATCTATTAAAAATACAACATCTGCCACTAAGCAAGGCAGTCATTAAGTGAGTTGTGTTAAATTTTATGATCTTTTTTGCTGTGGTTGTTAAGTGAATCAAGCGGTCATTAAGGAATCTAGCATTCCCCATTGACTTTGCTTGTTGGAAGCCAGGCAGGAAGGTCACAAATTCTGATCATGTAATCCCAGGATACTGTAACCAGTGCTTTTTTTCTTTAAAAAAAAAAAAAAAAGGTGCCGGAACTCACACATGTCATACAACCTGCCTTGCCTACCCTACAAGGTTCCATCCCAAAAAGGTGCCGGAACTCCGTTCTGGGCGTTCTATGACAAAAAAAGCCCTGACTGCAACCATTGTAAATACATGCTGGTTGTCCAGAGCCCAAATTTTGATCACATGACCTCAGGGATTTTGGAAAGGTTGTAACTTCCAATGGTTACAAATAGTTGTAAGTTGAGGACTACCTGTATTGCATTTGCTTCAGTTGACATAGCAAAGCTATCAATATATGATATGACAAGGAGTTTCATTTTTCAGCTGGCTTGGTCAGAGCCTGATGCTGATTAGGGCTGAGAAGAAGTGATGGGCCTCACTGAAAGAAAGCAGTTGGCTTTCTTGGCTAAGGTAAAACTAGAACCTGGGTTTCTTACTGCTAGTGCAACACCACAACCACTACTACAGACTGGCTCTCAACAAAGATCATTAATATTTAAGTAAAGAATTTTTATCCTTGAAGAAAAAAAATGTAAGTGCCAGTAGATTGGTTTTTAATGCTGGGATTATTTAAATTTGTTGAAATATAATGAAATAATGTAGCACAGTTAATTTATGGAAGTTCTTGCTGCTTCTGCAAAATAATAAGGACAGTTTCACCTAGAGGAAAAGAAGTCAGAGAATAATTTACTAATGTAGGCAAAAGTTCAACCTGTGAGTCATAGTTCCAAGAAAAGGATTTTATTCCTTCAGAAACAGGTTAGAGTGCCAATGTAGCAGAAAATTAAAACTCTCAAGTTCTTTGTTTTTCTACCTCTCACCTCCATTTCCTTGTATTGTCTCCAAACAGAATGGTTTTGTGACAGGTGTGTATCCCGCCAGCCCCTCCAGTTGGTTATTTATGGTTACAGCCATCCTAGTAACCCAGTTCTCTCGTCTTGACCCTTCCATGGGCATGATTGACAAAATAAAGGAACATCTGCCGGTCAGGTAATTAGGGGAGAAAAGGAGACAAGTCTTCATGATGAGCTAGTAGCTGTTAATTTTGTCAGAATAGAAGAAACTAAGACTCGGTCAGACCTAATGGTTGAGTTCAGATAGCACCCTTAACCCAGCCAGGTACTAATTGTCACAGTGTCTTAATTTTGGCTCTAACAGCACACAGTTTCTATAACTGAGTAAAGAATTAGCATTGTGAAGAATACAGAAATCCAACATTTCCTGATTCCTGTCTGCATTAATCTTTTATTATCCTGCATTATTAGGATAATATTGTGTTTCATTACCTCAGGGATCTTTTCCCTATTGCCAAGACAATATTGTCTGTTAGGTAGGCAAAAGAAAAAAAGTCACTCTCAACCTACCAAAGTGTCCATCCTGACATAGAAAGCTCTTATATTGAATGAGATCAACATAGCCTAGTATTTTCTGTACAGTGCCATGCCTATTAAATTAAAACTTTTTCTGAGATTGTACATTTAATTTAACTGTAAACCAAACAGATGGATTACAACATACTAAAGTTACAAAAAAGAAGTTAAAATTAATAATTATACAAAGGCAGCCACTTGATTTTTAACTACCTTGGTTAAATGTATTGTGTGAACACAACCACTGACCATTTGCATTTCTCCATAGTTTGGGCAGAGGTATTTCAGAAAGCTGAAGGGAAATGACTAACTCTGGGATATTTTGGATGTAACAAATGTGAGCTAAGCATCAGATCATTCATTTCCCTCCCCTCCCACCAATCCTTAACAGTCCTTAAGTTTACTTGTAATCTACAAATACAGGTTAGTTTTCTTGAAAGATTGACTTTGTCTGTTTGCCATCCTCCTGTTTTTCTCCAGCAATTATCTGTCAGATCACGGCCTGAATATCCTCAGTGTCCTGGCCTTTTCCACAGGACTGTGGCTGGCGCTCATTATGACCATGCGTAGCATTCTTAAGATGCTGCTATGCTACCATGGATGGATGTATGAGGAGTATGGTCGGATATCCAACACCACAAAGATCTGGTTGGTATGTATTTACAAGACAAGTGTACTCTTAGAATGCAAGTTGGACACAGGGCCAACTGTTGCTGGAATCAGAGGGTGGCATACACAATTGCCCTGAGTTTGGCTACTATAACCCTGGATGGAGCTGAAGCAGGCTTATAGCACAGAGCAATAAAAATCTGGGAGTTTTCAACATATCTGCTGAGCGCCATATGAGACAAGGCTAACAGAGGAGACTATAGACGTTGAATGCAATTATTGCAATTATATTTTCCCTTTTCTCTGTAGCACAGGTTACCATATTTATCCATTTAATTAAACAGTTATGAGGGCAAAGATTTCAGACTGGCTTTAAAAGTTAGACACATATCGTATTATAAAAGGCAAAACCTTTTTCAAGTCAAGCTTCATTCTAGGTAACTTTGTATATTCATGCAGTGTTATTGGCAAACTTACCCAGTGCCACTAATTTCTTCTGGGATGCTTTTTACCTTCCCAGTCTAACTTGCAAACTTGCTATTCTCTGGAAGTTTCTCATCCAAATACTAACCTTAGGTTTTGAGCTCAGACACATTTAATCAGATGTTGCTACCACATGCCTGAAGAAAAGAAACATTGCGATCAACAAAACTAAAAAACACTGTTCCAGAATACTCCTCCAGGATGTTAGGGGAATACTTCTCCAATGTTATTTCATAAATAGGATAAGAGAGAAAGAAGAAGAGGGACTCAAAGTCATCTAATGAGTAGGTTCTCCCTAACTTTCTCAGTATTATACCATCTAAACAGTATACAATGCACCTACAGAGAGGTAAGTCTTTGAGCTACATACAATAGCTATGTTCAGGATCAGACGAATAGGTTTAGTTAAAAAGTTAATGATGGTTTATGATGAAAAACACCATGGAGCAGCTTTTCCCAATCCAGTGTCTTCTATATATGTTGTAGTATCATAATTCTCATGGTCTGGCTGTATGAGACGATGAGATTTCTATTCAGCACATCTAAGAAATACACACTTGGAAAGGCTGCTGGAGAAAAAATGAGATGAAATATTGGGAACATATCAGTTGGGAAGGAGCCAAGCTGAGGGGCACAGATACATATTAAGAAAGAGCAGCAGGTGTGTCTGTAATTCCCACAAAGGCATGTAGAAGAAGAAGCAATAAGCAGATCAAATTAGGATTTGGAGAAGATGTGAAAACATAAATACTCTGGGGGCATAGTTCTCATATGACTGAGTGCTTCTGCAAACAAACATAAACCCCCCTTCCGGATATTTGGTAAACTATGACAGAAAAGAAAGAAGTTCTATCCAGGGTACAATGGTTTCACTACACTCAGTTGGCATCTTTCTAACTCGTGTTTCCTGGGGGTCATAGACCTACCACACAAGTCGAGAAAAAAGTGCAGTTTCTTTAAGGAGGTGAAATGTGGCAGGTATAGTCATATTCCCACTGAGGAATATTTTCCACTTTGGATCCAAAAAGCTGCACAACTCTTGTTATAACCTTTAGACCAGAGGCCTCCAACTTTTTGGGCACCAGGGACCGGTTCCATGGAGAGAGGTTTTTTCACAGACTGGAAGGGGTGTGGTTTCATGTACTGCCTGCATTCCGCAGATGGGGCTTTGCTTGTTTGCACAGCCCAGTTTCTGGCATGCCGTGGCCTGGTGCCAGTCCACGGACTGGGGGTTGGGGACCCCTGCTTTAGACTAAACTTATGTCTGTCAGTAGTGAACCCCAGTGGCTGCAGTTTGTAGTAATCCAGTCTCAGGGCAAACTTAGTCATTTGTATTCTAATACAAAAAACAAGATGACTTTCTGGTTTCCCTTTTTTCCCTATTAAAAATGATTGGACTGGCAGTTGATAATTTATTGAAGGGTTTAGGACAAGGGTAGGCAACCTTGGCTCTTTTATGACTCGTGGACTTCAACTCCCAGAATTCCTGAGCCAGCCATGCTGGCTCAAGAATTCTGGGAGTTGACATCCACGAGTCATAAAAGAGCCAAGGTTGCCTATCCCTGGTTTAGGAAGATGTAGGACAGGCTACTAAGTATAGATATCTCTGTCCTGCAATAGTTTTATTAGTATCTGCTACCTGAAGAAAATATATAACTCTGTCTTATACAGTAGCAGGATTCACCATGTCCTATTCTATTATAAAACAGGCCACTTTACTGTGAATTAGGCCAAAGAAAAATGCTGGAGGGAAAAGTGAACATGTTGAAATGTGGGGTCTAGCTCACTTCCCCCTTTATCCCCTCACCCTCATAGGCTTTGGTGAAAATTTTCTCTGGTCGTAAACCCATGTTGTATAGCTATCAGGCCTCACTGCCTCGGTTGCCTGTTCCGGCTATTAAGGATACAATGCGGAGGGTGAGTCTGCAGCTTTTATCCATATTCTCCTTATTTACAAGTGGGCGTTCAAAGATTCTTATATTTACTTGGGATACGTCTTTGAAGTAGTGGTGTTCACAGGAGGAGTCAAAATACGAAAGATAGAGGCCTACATTTGCAAATCTCCATCCCCTTGTATTCCAACCACAGATTGTGATGTTATAGTTAGGTTGATTTTAACATCCTGCATTGGCTGCTGTTTTGAAAGTCTGCTATTTGATAGAAATAACTATTAGTGCAAACTAGCCACAATGAAAGCTGCATTAAAATTTTGTCCCTGTGATACTAGATGCTAGATTTTCATGTGCAAGGCTCTAGTGCATAAATGGAGTTGTCTCTTCAAAACAAATTCTAGCTTCAGTAGACAGATTTTCCTTTAAACTAAAGCAGAGAAGGAAAAAGATCACACTTTCTCTCCATCCCTAGCTGCTGATCCTAATGATCACTAATACAGATAGACCTTGACTTCCAGTTTTCTGCAAAATTGCATCCATAGCAATCATTGGTTTACTTAATGATTGCAGCGATTTTAATGACCACTGCAAAAAAATCATAAAATCAATTCAGTCATGTAACCTGCAAAAAAAATCATAAAATCAATTCAGTCATGTGACTAACTAGTTGGGTGGTGGGGAATGGAAGGATTTATGTTCCTTGCAGACAGCTGGTCATTTACATTTTTTTAGCAAGTCATTGAAACCCCTGGAGGCTTATCTGTGTCATCAGGATCACCTGAGTAGTGCAACTATGCAAGTAGTTGAAAGGACATAGACCACTCTTTTGAAGACAACAAAGTCCAAATTCTGGACAGAGAGGACCACTGGTTTGAAAGAGGGGTCAAAGAGGCCATCTATGTCAAAATTGAACAGCCCTCTCTCAACAGAAGGGGAGGGATCCAACATCATCTATCTCCAGTCTGCAACACAGTCCTTTCAACAATTCCAAGATGGTTCCACACCCATTTGTACTACTCAGGTGACCCTGAAGACATAGATAAGCCTCCAGGTAGCTTTAACAGCTCACTAAAAGAATGCAAATGAACAGCTGTCTGCAAGGAATATAAATCCTGCCATTCCCCACCATCCAGTCAGAGCTGAAGAAGCTTTTTGGATTAGAAGTGAAATGTCTTCAAAGAAAAACAAGAAAGTTCAGTTGCCCTGTGAAAAAAGCACCTTTGGGTTAGAAACAATTGCGTATGCAGCAGGACCCAAGCAAAGAATCTTCCATGCTGACTGATTCCACCTCCCATGCTGGTCAATGGATCTTTATGAAAAGGGGGGCGGGAATCAAAAGCTTTGCATCACAGTAGAGATCTCATTACTTTAGCATGCCTGACATTTCTGATACTGATTTTTGGTCCTGACATTTGGCGTACCCTCTTAGCTCTTTTTCTGTAACCATTTCAGATGGTGTCCATTGCCTAGCTCTGATTATAAGCTTCTAATGTGGGCTCTTTCCTGATTATTGGAAAGAAACAAGTTCTGACTAGTGACAATCAAAGTGGTATAAAAAGAGGCCTAGTTTGAGAATCAGGTTATTGCCATTTGCAGAGGGAATGATTCACTTACACTCACTAAGATAACACATTTGAGTTATTCATTCATTTAATTAATTGGATAGCATTTATGCATAAAGTTGCAGTAAACTTCTATAGATAGATTTCATGAATTACCGTAGCAAAAGCTTTAACACAGAATTCTTCTTTCTATGGGATGAGGTAATTTATGCACCTAACAGTGGTCTTTCACTGTTTTAGGAAGAGAAAGCGTTTTCCATTATCTTTTGACATGGAAGGGTTAGCCATGTCATAATCACGAGAGATAGAAATTAGTATCTGAAGCCCTAACATTTGCATGAAGATAAAATGATAATCTTTTTTTAAAAAAAAACTTTACTGTCAGTAACTCCAAAAACAGCTCAAGGAGTGACAGAAAATTGTTTGTAGGGTAGAAATGGGCAAAGGAAAGAAAGAATGCCTAAATAAATAAATAAATAAATAAATAAATAAATAAATAAATAAATAAATAAATAAATAAATAAGGGAAGAAAAAAATAAGGAAAACACAAGGAATGGAATATCCTTGGGAAAGGCAAAGTTGGAATCTTAAAAAAATGTATTTTGGATCTTTTGTTGCATATTCTACCTATGGTAATTAAATGAGAGTTTTACATACAGGGCATCTTACGTTTACCATGTTATTTCATCAAAAACATATGCTACCAGGTGACCTCAGCTGCTGATGAGTTGGGAAGAATGTCTTGAATGTTTCATGTTCTGACAGGCTGTTCATTGATAGCTTTTTCTAGCTGAGCCTCTCCAAATTTTGGGGAATACAAAATCATAGCATCTCCAAGATGTGATGGCCAAGTATCACAGCTGTTTTCTGTTGCTGCTTTTAATTCCCCCACTCCTCCATGCTATTTTTCTTCAATGCAAAAAATCTTTATAGATGTGAAAATATTCATTTATGATTCATCCTTTCACATTAGGAATTGGTTTTTTCCTTTTTTTATTATCTTAGAAACTGTTTGATTTGCATCTCTATGGCTGAAACTGTCTGAAATCGAAACAATCACTAGATAATAGCAGAAAGATAAAGAAAACTAGTGAAGTTTGAACTGATAATCCTATTTACAACTTTCTGAGACTTTTGCACTTCTTTTTCATGCATCTACAAAGAAGCATACTTCCACGTCTACAAGGCCTCTGGTTTCAAGTGCTCTTGTAGAAGAATGAATGGGGTCAACTTCATCTCTTGAGTTTGGCATGAGGAAGGCTTTTGAGTAAAAGAATGAACTCTGCACTTGCCAAGACCTAATTCCACATTTTTCGTTCTCCCTTAGTATCTGGAATCCATACGACCTCTGACAACTGATGCAGAATTCCATCGAATGACAGGTCTTGTCCGTGACTTTGAACGGACTCTTGGACCACATCTGCAGTGGTATCTCACACTGAAATCTTGGTGGGCACCCAACTATGTGAGTGGGCCTTTTAAAGGGGAGGGGCTCATTGGGAAGAACAGTTTAGTACACTGAGAATATGTACGCGGTGCTGTCTTTTTAATTTCTCCTTTTCCATTCTCCTATCTCTTGCCAGGTAAGTGATTGGTGGGAAGAGTATGTGTATCTCCGTGGGAGGAGCCCCCTGATGGTAAATAGCAACTATTATGGCATGGTGAGTTATCAAAACTAGAGAAGAATATCTTGAACAGGATGTTTTTCTTCCAGCTCTTCTGACCTCTCCATGTTTTCATTTCTTCTGCACTCATTTTTCCAGGATTTCCTTTATGTTACACCTACTCCAATCCAAGCTGCTCGTGCTGGGAATCTTGTTTATGCCATGCTGCAGTACCGACGCAAACTCATCCGAGAGGAAATCAAACCTGTGAGTGAGATCAAAATATAGGGAGGATAGGAAAGATGCCTGTTAGAGAATGAAAGCTCCCTCTGCCTGAACTAGTTAGTGTGAGTCAGATTGAGAATAAGAAGATTTATACAGGTAACCTTGAGATTACAACCACTAGAACTTCTATTGCTAAGCAAGATGGCTGTTAAATGAGTCACACCCAATTTTACAACCTTACTTGCTGTGCTTGTTAAATGGTTGTTATCATGCAATTGTTAAGCAATTTCAGTTTTCCCAACTGCCTGTGCTAGTTGGAAGCTAGCTGAGAAGGACACAAATGGCGATCACATGAACCCAGAGTGCCACAACTCTCATAAATACATGCCTGTTACCAAGCATCTGAATTTTGATCACGTCACCATGGGGGCACTGCAATGGTCATAAGTTGGTGAGGACCAGTCATAAGCATGAGAACCAAACTATTTTTAGCATGGTCATAACTTTGAATGGTTGCTAAATGAACGGTCATAAGTCAAGGATTTATATGTGTTTGCTTTCCACTTGCAGAAAGGAAAAAGGAGTAAAAGCATGGCAATTTCTTAATGTATTCCAAGCTTGCCCATTTCACTTCGAAAAGCAGCCTTTCCCAAACTGGGAATCTCCAGATGAATTGAACTACAGCCCCATAATCAATACTTATTAAGTTTTGGAAATTATAGTCTCAAACACATGCTAGGTTAGAAAAAGCTGCTTTTTCTGAAAGGTATTTCAGTTTTATCTTTTGAAAATATGGGCATGTTTCTCATACCGTTTGATAGTTTTGTCCTTATGATCAGTCTAGTTTGCTGCTATGCTTTCAAAATGGAAGAACTTATAAACTAATGGTAATAATATACTAACCATATCATTTATATAGTACATCACTGAAAATTTTTCATTGGCTTAGACTAGACAAAGGGGAAGTGGAGGTAGAGAAAGAACCAGCACTGTGGTGCAAGCAATAGTCTACAAAATCACAACAAATCCCACATTTTCTTCTAGAACTCATATTAAGAAACTTCTGGGGTATGTTGGTGCCCTGGAAAAAGAATAGCCATATTTGCGTATTATAATCACCTGATTTGCTTATGAGACTAAGTTAAAACTAAAGATAGACTATGGTTTAATTTCACATGCTAATCAGGCCAATTATTTGCAAAGGATCTCAATGAAATTCATGAATGAACATCAATTTGACTCTTAGCCTTTCTGATCCAAGGGATAAAATGATAATGCGTGTTTATGCTACTTATTTTTAATGTTTTTTTTATGTCAAGACAATTGTATGATATTCCAGTTCTGATGAGGACAGTGGTTCTTTTTCTAGATCTAAACTGCTTTGTTATTGCTCCAGAGCAAGCAACACATGCAGAATATTCTATATGAATTAGTATTTTCTCCTTCTGTGGGGGCAGGAGCTACTCTGGACTGATATTTCTACAGTTCATTTGAAGTATAAATAAAACAAAACAAAACAGAACATGGGAAACCAAACCGGGAGATCAGATCCTGTATTCACCGCCTCACAACTGATTTGAGTTTGTCTTAAGCGCAACTCAGGGTTCAAATACCTAATTGGTTCTTTGAAAGTCTGCAGCAAAGAAAAGAGCAGAAAAGAGGCTTAAAGCAAAGCTAAAAAGGAATGAAAATGGGCCTATCCTAATATCTGTCGGCCGAGTATTATACCAGCTTAAGTGTACAGGTAGCTTTGCCTTGTTTATTAAATGCAAGATAACATTGCCAGCTACATTGTAAAGTCCAGGTGATGTCATGCTTCTTTTTCTCAGTGATCTTTCTACAAGTTTGATCACTGGGCTTTTTGCTTATTACGTTTATTTATGCCTTGATTTTAAAAGTTCTTTAAATGTTCTAGGCTCACAGAGTATATTAAAGATAACAACAATAAATCTCTTCCCTGTTTGGTTTTCTTTTCCCCATCTAATTTTGGGGTTCCTTGTCACCTGATATCAGAGCATGCTCCCTAATTCCTTCATCCCCCTCTGTTCGGCCCAGTGGCAGCGCCTCTTCAACAGCACCCGGTTGCCTGGAATGGGGCAGGGTAAGTGAACTAGAAGACCCTGAGAAACAATCTCCTTCTCACATCTGGCTATGGGAGACTTTTGCAAGATGAATCTCCTCTATGGGGTCTTTTGCTGCTGGGTTTTCTGGTCCATATCTTCAGTGTTGCAGTCTATGATTCCAGGACTTACCCATAATCCTCTAAATCCCTCCGTCTTAACCATCCTTTGACAACTTGGCGCCTTCTGTGAGTGTTGTGTCAATAACTTTCATCATCTCCAGTAGCACAGTCTTATTTGGCCACGAATGATGGTAGCTATTGCAGTCTACCTCATATTGGATGGTAGAAGTCATTCTAAGGTACCAAGTTGGCAATCAGTCGCTGTCTTAAAAAAAAAAGCTGGTATCCCTTCTTGCTCTTGTCAACATGGATAACTCCCACATATTCATGAAATCAGAACTGGAGTCACCTTTGGAGCTTGGCCTACGCATTGGGTTCTTTTCTTGGCAGGACTATTCAAGTTGCTAGGAGAAAAAAATCTTGGGTTCTTTTTTACTTCTTTCAAAGCTTCATGGCAGGTAAATCTTCTTGATTATTCCTTCGGTCTCTCTGTTTCTTTCTTTCTTTTTTTTCTTTCTTTCTTTCTTTCTTTTCTTGCTTCCCTTTGCTTCTCAGATGCTGATCCAAGGTTGCCTGCCAACGTGCTCAGCTCAGTATGAACGCATGTTTAATACAGCCCGTGTGCCCGGCCTGGAGGGAGGTAGGACGCTTCTGCACACTTTGCCCTCCTTTCCCAACAAATATCTGCACACTGTCATGTGAATTGCAGGGATGAATGGACTTTTTTTCTACATGCTTTGTCCTGCAGCCATGTTTTATTTTAAAGTAGGGTGAGGAACCTATGCTTGTCTAGATGTAAAGAATGGAACTTATAAGGTGAAGGATGGGTCCAAACCTCTCAAAGGGCTTTTTGATAAGACTTGTAGAGAACCAATCCTGGTTAGCATACCAGGGGAAGATTCTTAATAACTTCTTTTTGGTGTTCAAAACCTGGACCCTCAACCAGGTTTTACTGTGTCCTTAATTAGGAGTGGGCAACCTGTTAGTGCTTGGTAGCCCCTCCTTAATTTATTTATTTATTTATTTATTTATTTTATATTTAAATTTATATGCCGCCCTTCTCCCCATGGGACTCAGGGCGGCTCACAGCATATTAAAACATTGTACAAAAAAATTTTTCCCCTGCTAAAAACCAATTAAAATCCAAATATTGGTAGCTGTGGCTCTTTAAAATTGTTTAAAAATTGTCCCTATTTAAAACTCACCTTAGGTCAGGCCCGCTTGTTGAAAAAGCCATGTCTTGAGGGCGCGGCGGAAGGTTAAGAGATCCGGAATCGTCCGGATCTCGGGGGGTAGTTCGTTCCAGAGGGTGGGGGAGAAAAAAGTTAAAGTAGATAGAACACAATGATGCAAAGTAAAAGAACTTTATGAAGCAAAGTCAGTGGGTCTAGTATTTTCCTGTTTTTCCTTTTATATTTTGATTATTTATTTGTCGGCTTCTAAGGTTTTTAAATTAAGTTTACTTAGTTTAAGTACTTAAATCCAACTGTTGTTAGATTTGTGTATTATTTTAATCTGTTGCATCAATAGTAAACTGCTCAGAATCTTTTGACTAGGGTAGTGAAGATGCCTGAGAAAATTCATTTGCACGTGTGGGAATGTATGGCAATGTCCAATATGAAAAAAAAATTGCCACCAATTTCCAGCAACTATGGTTGTAAAGAGGCTCCAAGTATTGCAAAAAAACAACAACAACCCTCCAACAATATTAAAAGATTGAGGGGATGTACACAGGTCTTGCACACAGGGCTGCGAAGAGAAAAATGGCCATTTTGATTCAGCTCATGCTGATTGTGTGCAGCCTTCTTTTATTAATCTTTGACTACTGCAGCTTTCCATAGTTGATGCACTTTAGATGTATAAGAATTTCCACTCACATTTTGCTGGCTGGAAATTTTGGATATCCCAACCCAACATTTCGCTTTGTGAGAATTTGACATCAGAGAAAGTGCAAGTAATTGCTTGAATATAAGGTGCTTGACCTGTTACTACTTTATTAAAATCAGAAATATTGGTCTGGGGTAAGAGATAAATTTGAATTATGGTGCAGGACACAACCTTTCACTGAGTTATGATTCCCCCTTTTCCTTGGGGAGCTCCTGTGGGAGGAGGCAAGAGACTAGGCTGCCTATGCATTGACTGAGATCCAGCAGAGTTTTTATTTTGTTTATGTCCTTGCTACCCAGATAAAATCCAACATCTACAAGACAGTGATCACATTGCAGTATACCATGCAGGACGCTTATTTCGAGTATCGTTGCATTACAAGGGGAAGCTGCTGGAGCCCTGTGAACTTCAGGCACAGTTTGAAGCTATCCTTTGTGACCCTACACCCCCTCTGCCTGGGGAGGAGAAATTGCCTTCAATGACTGCAGGTGAAAGGTGAGAGGCTGACCTGTCCTTAATCCAGCCTTTCAGTAAGTTGGACTTGTTGCAGCTGACAGATGGGCTGATTTGCGCTGTGCTCCTTTTCATTCAATGGGCTTGAAGAAAATAAGTTCAGATGGAAATTCAGGTGTGTCCCAGGAGGTTGATGTTGATGTGCAGTGGGAGTTGTGTGGTGTAGCCTCCCATTAGTCATCCTGCTTCTCCACTCTGCTGTTAACTATCCTGCTGTACCACCATGCCACGCTGCCTGTCACTGCCTTGCTTCCCTGTCCCTTCCTGCCCTGCTGTGCTCTGCCACTTCTTTATGCTGTCCTTTACTTTTGCTCCCTGCTATGTGGGTACATCCATATATTTGAGTGTACCTTTAACTTTTTTTATTTAAGGAGTACTTTGCTCATCTGGTTCGCACTGTCCTCTCTCTTAGGTAGCCCTGCCTACTTCAAGAGGGCAACTCCCATGCGTCTCAGAAGCCTCTGGCACCCTCCATTCACTGAGAGACAGTGAAGACCCTAGCTTAAGACATGCTCATCCTTTTTCATTTTTCCCTCCTTCTGAATAAAATAAAGAACAGTCACTCGGAGTCCTTTAGCCTGTTGTGATCCTCATTCTGATGTCATGCAACCCACAGACCTAAGGTGGTTCATGGACATCCATAGTTAATATGGTAGAGCGAGAGAGAGGAATGGCAAAGAGATGGTACAAAAGAGCGAGTGAACTATATAACCCTGCTCACTTTGGGATCTTTACCATCTCCATACCTACCTTTTCTCCTTCCAGAGGAAAATTAAAGTTGGACTTAAAGAATCAATTGTTCCTTTCCTTAGCCCTACCATAAAAACTGGTCTTAGGAGTTCAGATAGTCTTTTCTTTGCATCCTTTGACTGTTGCTGCTTATGAAGCAAAAAGAGATACAAGTCCATGCAGTGGCTTCAAAGGGGGTGAAGGAGGGGATATCCATTGGGTCCTTCTTTAATGTGGAACAGACTGTGTTAGAATTAGGGAAATGATCGCCGTTCTCATCAAAGTCAGAAGCTACTTTTTTGGATTGGGGTATCCATAATAGCCACATCTCCTAACTCTGATGGCTTAATGTTCTTTGTAGAGATTCCTGGGCCAGGACCCGCCACACCTACTTCCAGTCTGGGATTAACAAGCAGTCCCTGAATATAATTGAGAAAGCTGCTTTCTTTCTCACTCTTGACACAAGTGAACAGGGCCTGCGAGGGTCCAATCCAGGTCAGGCATTGGATGTCTATGCAAAATCCTTGCTACACGGACATTGCTGTGACAGGTAAGTATATCCTCTATGCAACCAACCTGCAAAGATTATACACCAGAAGTCGTATGGGTCACACATTCCTCACATTTCTTGAACAGAGAGGTTGTGCCAAAATATCACTTCCTTCATACTAAAAAAGTAATCACTTTTCCCATGAGGCCTTGTTTTGTTTTCCAAATAATTTTCTGCTGGCTGTGATGCCCTTCACAGAGCCCTATTATGCTCCTTGTATGCCAGTAAACATTCCACCAATATCAATGGTAGAAAGGAACTTTTTGAAGTGCAAGAGATCGTTATGATATGCTCTATTGCCAGGCCCCTGAAACAAATTGTGGAGGCGTGCATGTCGATGTGTGTATCTTTGATTAAGAGAAGAATAGGGAGCAGCCTATGGAAAAGAGGATGCCACTCTTTTCTCACAGGTGGTTTGACAAATCTTTCAACCTGATTGTTTACCGCAACGGGAAAGCCGGAATCAATGCAGAACACTCGTGGGCAGATGCACCTATTGTTGGACATCTTTGGGAGGTAAAGTTCCAGTTGAGTTCTCCAGCATAGGATTGGCGGGAGGGAGTGGTGAAATGAAGAACACTTGGATTCTCTGGGTGTAGGGAATGGGGGGCTAGCTCAGTGCAAAGGATACAGCAAGGGAATCAAAGCAATTGAGCTTTCTCTTGGGTGCCCTTTTTTCACAGTACACCCTTGCCACAGATTCATTCCAGCTAGGATATGATGATGATGGGAACTGCAAAGGCAAGATGGATCCTGATGTCCCTCCACCCCAAAAACTGGAGTGGGAAATATCGCCAGAGGTAAGCTCAAGCTCTGGTGAAGATAAAAGCGCTCTCTCTCTCTCTCTCCCCTCTCTCCCCCTTTCTCTCTCTCTCCCTCCCTCCCTCTCTCTCTCTCTCCTTCTCTCTTTATAATAATAATAATAATAATAATAATTTAATTTATATACCGCCCTTCTCCCGTAGGACTCAGGGCGGTGCACAGCATATTAAAACAGATACAAACAAAATACATCAAAAAACAAAAAAAACCCATAAAACCAAATTAAAAGCCAAATATTGGAAGCTGTGTGTCAATTAAAATTTTCTTAAAATCATCCCTACCTAA